TACCTAGAGCTCACTCCTGGGGGCAAACACTCATTGTGAGATGTGCTCTTACCATAGGCATTTTCTTCATCTCTTGGCATCTTCCGTCCTCCCATGATCACCTGAAAGGATCCCAGACACAATTTGTTCATTCACTCATTCATCAAATAGGTGCAGCTGCCTACAGTGTCAGGTCAAGTCCAAAATGTTGGTGACCCCACTGTGAGAAGGTCATAGTTCCTGCCCTCCTCTGAGCATCGGAGTTTAGGGAAGACATTGGAGGAGCCTGGTCTGGGTTGGGATGATGCTGTGAGAACACCTGGTGAGCTTGGCTTTGTCTTCTCAGGGCCCTCAAATGCAAAGAGCAAAGGGGAGATGATAACACTTAATCCCATCCATGCCAATGAGTAAACTTTAGATGTTAATTTCTCCAGGTAATTCTATGTCAGGTGGTGCTAATGGTGAAGAATCCACCTGCCAATGCAGGAGACGCAAGAGATGCAGGTTTGATCTCTAGGTCAAGAAGATCCCCTGGAGAAGGAAATGGCAACCCACTCCAGTATTCTTGCCTGAAAAATTCCTGGACAGAGGATGCTGGCAGTTTGCAGTCCAAAGGGTCAGAAAACGTCAGACATGACTAAGAGACTGAGTACCTATGTCAGTGACGTAAGATGTTGAAAACAAGACTTCCCAGGAGTTTCAGCAGTGAGAGTGGTGATGGAGGGTAGGCTTTGGAAAACCCCGAGAACAAGACTTTGCTCACTGACAGAGGATCTACCTTATGGTGGCTGGCCTGTGAAACAAGCAAGAAGAAAATTGGAAAACAGACGTATTTCCCAAACTCATCTGGAGAGTTTCTGCTCTTAGATAACCACATAGTTTGGCTTCTCCTTATGTATCTAAATATGGGGAGACTGGGAGGCTCCCCTCCAGCTCTTTATGTTCTGGCCCTTGAGGCTGAGGCTTCTTAAGTACAATGATTACACCCACTCAAACATCATTTAATACAATTAAACATTTTGTGATCGTTCGCCTGATCACGCAAGCTTCTGAACATGAGCCCACAGTCTCTGCTTAGTCTACTTCTCCAGCCTCATTTCCAATAAATCCCACCTCGCCTGCTCCGTCTTCACCCCTGCCCCCAGTCAGCCACTCCAGACACAGCAGATTTCAGTGCCCTTTCCCAACCCACCTCGTGCTTTCCCTCCCAGGACCCTTCATCCACCCCACATTTCTGCCTGAGTCTTGTCTATACTCCAACATCCATTTCAAATTCTACCTCCTCACATCACCCAACTCTTTCCTGCAGGTAACTGTATTCAACCCCATTTGGCACCAACAGGGAAGGAAAAGCAAAGGAAGAGGCTGGGTGGATAACCCCTCTCTGGCCAAAGGACTCAGAGGGCAAGTTTGTCTAGAACCCAAGCCGAAGCTGTTGGTATTTTTGCCATCACTCTCCTGCTGCCCCATGCAAAGCTTTCAGTAAAGTTTACCCTGGGGCAAATCACATGATATGATTAGTTGTTTTGTCTAGGCATCAACAAACTCTCATAATTGACATCAGAGCAGAAATGAAGAAAGAACCACAAGATTCAAACCCTAAAGAAGACTAGCTAAAGCAAGAGGTCCTCACCAAAGATGGAAATGAGAAAGTGTGCTACAGGGAATCCACAGAACTCTCAAGTAGGTCACTGGGATTTCCAGATAGTTTGAAATGTGGGTTAAAATCATTTAAAATAAATTTTAAGAAGGAGATAAACTCTTCCTGAAATCTGGGGTGATAAATAGCTCTTTATTGTAAAGCACATTGAATTTCTGTATTCTGAATACTCTGAAAATTCAAAGTTTGTGTAACTCAGTGCCTCTCAAATATGTTGTTTTTCAAAACTACTTGAATGTTCTTTAAAAATGTCGATTCTGGGGGGACCATGCTCAGAAATTCTGATTCATGAATCCGATGTATCTGATATCATCAGTCCACACATCAGAGTTTGGAAATGAGCCGTTTATTCAGACCCCCTTCATTGTACAGATGAGGAAACAGGTGTTCCTACAGCAGAGGTGGGAGAGACTTGAATTAGGGAGCCAATGTGTCAGGGGTCATGAGGATGAGGGGTTGAAGACCTGTCAGGGGTCATGAGGACGAGGGGTTGAAGACCTGGTTCCTAACCTCTTTAGTCTCTTGAGGGTCCCTTACTGTGGACAGAGGGGAGAGGGGGAATCTGGGGTGGGGTTGAATTCTGATGGTTTCCTGACTCAGCACACTATAACTTGCTCTGAAGTTAGATTGCTTTGAGGCCACAGAAAAGATCTTTTGCCTGTGCTGAACATGCAGTTTGAGCAATGTTGAATGCGTTTTAAAATGCATTTTACTCCTAGACATAGTTCCAATACAGACTTTTCTTATTGTATGGGGGAAGTGTGGAAGGAGACAGACATGTGTACCCTCCAGACTGGGGACCATGCTCATAAACCTTTTTTGAACTTCCTCTATTGGAAACTTTGAACATCTTCACAAATCCGGACACCCCATCTTAATGGATCTGGCTCTTACTCACCCGAAAGGTTCCTGGTGGAGCCTGGGTACTCAGACAGTGAATGCTCTCAGAACCATGTTCCTTCTGGTTGGTTGTAGCTCCTGCTCCCTGCGGGGCTTGCCTTTCCTGGTGACAGGCTCTCACTGGTGATCCAAGAAGGCCCTCATCTTTGCTTTCTCTTTGGTTTTGAGTGTGGTGGGCTGTTTCCTTCCACTCTGCATAGAGGAAGTCTTTGAGACTCTGAGCCCAGAGGGAGGGTTAGGTGGTGGTGATGATTTAAAGAGACAGGAACATTCAATGTAGGCTTTAAGTATTTATCTTACAAAACCTCTCTCCTGTTGCGACTAATCTTCTGAGTTCTCCAGCAGGGCCCTGCCCCCTGCCCCACCATACCAAATATCTTGTTGTAGGACCCCAAGGTCTGGGTCTCCTTCTAGAACTGCTTAGTGATCTAATCTTCAATTACTTTTTACCATGTAGGCATTTTCCCCATATAGAAGTCCAGGGTGCTTTCTGCTCCAGAACAAAGAACATGATAGCTTTTCTCAACAGCCGACCATTGACTGGACATCCCTATGGTCGGTGCCCCTCTAGGGTCTAGTCTGTCAGCAAAATCCAGAAGCAGAGTTTTATCTGAGAAAGAATGTCTTCTCAGCTATGAAAGGACTTGAAGCTGGCTGATGTATTGAGGATGAGGATGAATTGTTGTTGCTGTTTAGTCGCTCAGTCATGTCAGACTCTTTGTGACCCCATGGACTTAGCCCGCCAGGCTCCTCTGTCCATGGGATTCTCTAGGAAAGAATATTGGAGTGGCATCCTATTTCCTCCTCCAGGGGATCTTCCCAACCCAGGGATCGAGCCTGTGTCTTCTGCATTAGCAGGTGGATTCTTTACTGCCAAGCCACCATACGTTTACACTGTTCCTAAGTTAGCATTATGTAGAGGCTTCATCTGGTCATCTGTGTTGGTATCACTGATTCCAGTTATTCTGCCTTCTCTCATGAGGGTCATGAGAGTGAGGTCAATAAAAGACCCAGTGGTGTGGTGAACAGGTACCAAAGGACTGGCCCTAAAACTGGTCAGGTCACCAATCCAACTCAAGCTTTTTAGAGTTGACTGTTGCTGGATGTGGGAAAGATGACTGTCCTGAGCCCTAATCTGCTGGCTGGGACCTGCTATTTCATCTTTCTTTCCAGCCCATTTTTTCAGGTAGGAAAGAGACCCAAGGTCAACTGTTTTCCATTCTTTTTTTTTTTTCCAGGTACAGTGTCTCTTGAAAGACTGACACCCCCGTTTTTTCCATTCAGCATTATTGAAGCCCGGAGTCTCTCATTCTCCCACTAGGCTAGCGGGGCCAGGACTAGTGTGAGGAAAGTTTGGTGTTCAGGGCACAGAGTTGAAGGAGACACACTGCCAAGGCCTCTCAAGTGCTAATACTACAGGTGAATGACCCGGGAGTGAGTATTTCCTTAAGACTGAGGTGAATATGGCTTCTTACTGGCTTCACCCTAGTCCAAACCATGTAGACCAGTGTTGACTAAGTCTTTGCTACCCAACATATACCTTTCAGGAAGATGCTTCCAGTGTTTCTTTGGCAACTCCTTGCCTTTCAGTGTTCTCATGTGTGCATGTGGAGTCTTCCTTCACCATCTGTGACTTTGCCTGGGGGTTTACCTGGTTACGAGAAGGCGCTTGTAGCTCTACATCCTTCTTACATTTTCCCACCTCCCTTTTATGTGTATTGTTTGCTGCATCCTTGGAGTTTTCCTAATTATCTAGTGAGCTCATCAGTCGTAAAGACTGTGTTTATTTTAATAAATTCTAGTTGCGTTTAACAGGAAGATGTTAAATGTAAAATACTGCAAATGCAAAATGCAAAATACTAAGTCCACTCTTGTCTGAAACATAAGCCTCTAGTATGCTTCAGTGCTGATTGGGATTGGACACAAGGGATAAAATCTAGCTGAGCCTCTTTCGATGGACATAAAACAGACTATTGATGTGTGTGTCTATGTGTGATTGTTGAGCGTGAGTGGTTGTATCAGAGAAATATGCCATATGTCCATTTACCATCTTTGGAGGATAAAACCATAGCACGGAGTTAAGGACATGTGAGCTCAGAAACTTTACAGCTCACTTGTTAATTTACTATACCTTATAGAAATTTTATTGCCATTTTTGTTATATTCAGAAGAAATAGTGATGGTATAAAGAAGAAAAGGAGTTTTCAGGAGCATAAAACTGACTTTAGATAGAGATTTGCAAATGAGAGGAATTTTATGTTTATAACTTTCAGAAGGTTTTGGTATTATATTTCAAAACAAACAGGAAATTTTAAAATTGTTTGGTTCATTAACAAATAGGATGAGTTTAAGATCTAAACAGTTCACAGAATTTCAAACATTTAGCGATATCAGACACTGACTATCCGGGGCAGGCAACTGTAACTCACCCAGGATATGACAGTGAATGAAGAGGCACTGATCAGTAACTATGACACAGGAGTCTTGCATCCAGTCTACTGGCCTTTCTAAAAATCATCACTAATTGTTTGGGTATGACTAACAGTAAACTACAGAATAAACTGCACATACTAAAGGGTAAGCGGCAAAAGAAATCGCATGTCCTATGCAATACACAAAATAATTGAATGAGCAATGTGGCAGACACCTGAGCACACAATGCAATACACAGCGCTGTTTGGAGTAGGGCTTTTCTCAGGCAATTTGCTTTGGCCATGATTGTACCACGTGTCTGAATTTCCATGTATTTTATAAAGCTCCCTTTGAAATCCTGCAGTCTTTGCTCTGACTGTACAGGCCCACATTCTGACTGTGTTAGAAGGTTGTACAGCCTGTTAGTGTAGTGGTCACTCCTTTCCACTGTCACCAGGCTCTCAATCGAGTCCATGAGCTCCTTCACGTGGTCATCCCAGGTGCTCCCTGTAGTGCAGTTGTCAAAGGCACACACTCGCCCCCCACACGCTGCCACCAGCTCACTTAGGGCTCTGTTGTCTGAGCCTTGGATAAAATCCCTCAGGGAGCCTCCCTTGAGGTCTTCCTTGCGGGTGAAGACGACAGCAGTGTGCCTCATGGCACCCTCTCCGAAGATCTCCTTCACCCCCTGAATAGCCTGCTGGTCCTCCATGGTGAATCGGCCCAGTTTCATCACCAGGAGCAACACGTGGGGTCCTGGGGCAGAAAGCAGGTAGCACCTGTGCACCTCTTGGTTCAGGGAATCAGAGGGGTCCTTCCCACAAAACATATCTGGTGTGTCAATAACCACCACCTCGGTCTCTCCCCAGCTACCCCGACTCTCACTGCAAGTCTGCGTCAAGGACTGGGCACTCAACCTGGACTCAAATGCTGGCTTCCTGAGGATGCTGTTCCCTGTCACACTTTTGCTGGTTCCCGTTTCGCCCACCAGAATTCTTCTTAGCTCTGATCCTCTGGCACAGTGAACTGGGTGATTCTTTGTATAAGGTCCTGCTAAGAGCAAGTTTACTTAGAAGACAAAGACAAATACCACATGATATCGCTTATATGTGGAATCCAAAAAAAAAAGAAAAAAAGGATACAGATGAACTCATTTACAAAACAGATAGAGGGGCTTCCCTAATGGCCCAATGTAGAGGACGCAGGTTCAATCCCTGGTTGGGGAACTAAGATCCCACATGCTGCAGGGCAACTAAGACCATGTGCTGCAAGAAGAGAAGACTGTGCACCTAGCAAAGCATTGAAGAGTCCCATGTGCCACAACAAACCCAATGCAGCATAAATAAATCGTAAAAACCAGACATGGACAAACTTCTGGTTACTAAAAGGGAAAGGGGCAAGGGAGGGATAAATTATGAGTTTGGGATTAAAATATACACATTACTACATATAAAATAACAAACAAGGACTACTGTAGAGCACAGGGAACTATACTCAATATCTTGTAATAATCTGTAATGTAAAAGAATCTAAAGAGAATATATTTTTGTGTGTGTGTATACCTAAATCACTTCATTGCATACCTGAAATTAACACAGCATTATAAATCAATTATATTTCAATTAAAAAAAAACAAGGTGAAAAAAGAGCCAACTTACTTTGTTATTACCATACTGTCATGCCAATGGAATATTTTTAATGATAAGGAAATATCTAGGAGAAGATACTCTCATATTGTATTTATAAAGTAAAAGCTGACTCTATTATCAAATAAGATGATGATTTTAAAGCATTTAGCTTTCTCTAGGTCTGTAGGGCATTGTCATATTGGATCCAAGAAAACTGGGGGATGAGATAGAATTAGAAATGTATATTGTCATTCAAAGTTTGTCTATATCACTCTGTTCTGGCCCCCTAAAAGGCAAATTTTTTGAAGATCAGAAATGTGTAGCCAAGATGGTGGTTCCATCTCCAGGTGGGTAAGTAACCTGCCTGTTCCAGGGCCAGAGATGGTTCCTCTGACCTTGGCTGGGCAAAGGTGTGGTCATGACCACCAGTGAAGTGATTGGACCAGGGAAATTGAAATGAACAGTGCAAAGTTATTCTCTCTGATGAAGAAACAGTTGCTGGCTCATATTGTGATTCTAGAGGATAGCATGCTTTTTATGCAAACTAGGCACAGAATAGGGCTTCCCTGATAGCTCAGTTGGTAAAGAGTCTGCCTGCAATGCGGAGACCTGGGTTTGATCCCTAGGTTGGAAAGATCCCCTGGAGAAGGGAAAGGATACCCATTCCAGTATTCTGGCCTGGAGAAGTCTATGGACCATGCAGTCCATGAGCGACTTTCACTTTGACTTAAGGCACAGAGTAGGACAGAAATGGCACGCACAGGAGGTCACTTACTCGCCAGAGGGACTGCCTTCATTTTGGCTCATGGCTGTTCCTGAGGGACAGAGACCAGAGTTCAATTAAAAAAATGATCATTTTTGAGTTACGACACGCGAAAGAACCTTATATTTCATGAGCATGTTCACACCCATGCCTCAGTTGTCTGCACAAAGCTGAGGAGGTGGGTGGAAAGAATTACGACCGCTGGTTTACAGAGAAATGTAGTCGGTTGAAAAGGGAAAGGGGCAAGGGAGGGATAAATTATGAGTTTGGGATTAAAATATACACATTACTACATATAAAATAACAAACAAGGACTACTGTAGAGCACAGGGAACTATACTCAATATCTTGTAATAATCTGTAATGTAAAAGAATCTAAAGAGAATATATTTTTGTGTGTGTGTATACCTAAATCACTTCATTGCATACCTGAAATTAACACAGCATTATAAATCAATTATATTTCAATTAAAAAAAAACAAGGTGAAAAAAGAGCCAACTTACTTTGTTATTACCATACTGTCATGCCAATGGAATATTTTTAATGATAAGGAAATATCTAGGAGAAGATACTCTCATATTGTATTTATAAAGTAAAAGCTGACTCTATTATCAAATAAGATGATGATTTTAAAGCATTTAGCTTTCTCTAGGTCTGTAGGGCATTGTCATATTGGATCCAAGAAAACTGGGGGATGAGATAGAATTAGAAATGTATATTGTCATTCAAAGTTTGTCTATATCACTCTGTTCTGGCCCCCTAAAAGGCAAATTTTTTGAAGATCAGAAATGTGTAGCCAAGATGGTGGTTCCATCTCCAGGTGGGTAAGTAACCTGCCTGTTCCAGGGCCAGAGATGGTTCCTCTGACCTTGGCTGGGCAAAGGTCTGGTCATGACCACCAGTGAAGTGATTGGACCAGGGAAATTGAAATGAACAGTGCAAAGTTATTCTCTCTGATGAAGAAACAGTTGCTGGCTCATATTGTGATTCTAGAGGATAGCATGCTTTTTATACAAACTAGGCACAGAATAGGGCTTCCCTGATAGCTCAGTTGGTAAAGAATCTGCCTGCAATGCGGGAGACCTGGGTTTGATCCCTAGGTTGGAAAGATCCCCTGGAGAAGGGAAAGGATACCCATTCCAGTATTCTGGCCTGGAGAAGTCTATGGACCATGCAGTCCATGAGCGACTTTCACTTTGACTTAAGGCACAGAGTAGGACAGAAATGGCACGCACAGGAGGTCACTTACTCGCCAGAGGGACTGCCTTCATTTTGGCTCATGGCTGTTCCTGAGGGACAGAGACCAGAGTTCAATTAAAAAAATGATCATTTTTGAGTTACGACACGCGAAAGAACCTTATATTTCATGAGCATGTTCACACCCATGCCTCAGTTGTCTGCACAAAGCTGAGGAGGTGGGTGGAAAGAATTACGACCGCTGGTTTACAGAGAAATGTAGTCGGTTGCTCAGAGTTCACTCAGTGAGTCAGAAGATTGGGTTCGTTTGTGGCCCCACTGGCTGCTTCTCACCCCCAGGCCCACTTCTCCTCTAGGGTCCCTCCTCCCTGGGGGGCCCCCCGCCCCCTCTCTTGCTTTCCTGGGTTTCTTTTCTAGGTCTGCCGTGCTTGTCCCAGGTTGAGTCCGCTTTCCTTCCCTCCTCCCCACCTGCGTTCTCCACCTCCCCGCCAAACCCCTGCCCTCACTGAGACTCTTGCTGAGAGACTGGGTGAATTAAAAACGCGACTTGGGAAAGTGCACTCTTCTTTAAACCAGAAATGCACTTCATTTGTTCTGCTAGTTACTTGAATTTTCCTCTTCCCACAAGAAGCCTTATCATTTACTTCCCTTTCCTATGCAGAGGGGAGTAGCTTAAAAACTGGCAACTTGTACCAGGCAACATGGCACAGAAAACTCATGTGTTGATGAGCAAATTCTTTCCAGTGAGCCCTTTTGTGTAATGTCCTCTTTGCCACTCCTGGGTAAACTAAATTCCAAGAAGATTACAGGTCCTGTAACCTGGCCTCACTTAAGCCAAATGCTATCACTCTGTTTCCCTGAAAACAGGGTAAATTTGTTTAAAATATTTTTTCTTTTTCAAGCATAGCCTAAAAACTAGGAATGAATGGCACAGAACTTTCATGAGTGTGGGCTTACCTGAGTTATTGTTGAAAGAAACAGATGCCTCCTTGTTCAAATCTGTGACTTGACAGTTCAGCTGAGAGAGAGAGAGAGAGAGAGACAGAGAAAACAACAAAAAAAGCTGAAAATCTAGCCTGCTTCTTCCTCTCTTGTATCTCCAGTGGGCTTCTGTGCTGCAACAGAGCCCTTGCACCATGACTGTCTGAAATTCTCTTTTTAAAAATAAACAGTTAAAATGGCACAATTTAATGAGTCATTTGTTGTCCTCTGGACTTTCCTCAATTGAAAAAACAAACAACGTTTGAATCGTTTAAGCCGGAATAAAGGGGAGGCTGAGTATGCTCGTAGATTTGATTCCTTCCCCCATCCTGAGGCTGTGTCCCTACATTTACAAGCTTGCCTGAATGTAACCCCCCAAGGCCCCCCAGGAAGAATGACCTTATCCACACTTAGCAGTGACTGTTCTAAAGGCAAGTGCCACTGCAGGGGCAGAAACTACGGGTATGGGGGCACAGGACAGGGTGCTGTGCAGGGGGAGAGTACAGAAAGGGGAACTGAGAGAGGGAGATGTCTGTCTGAATGCATTCGGAAATGGCTTATTCATGGTTTCTTTACTTTCCCTTCCTGCTCAGCTACGCAGTTCAGGACAGCCTCCCTGGGGGACCAGTGCTCTGGGTAGTGTCTACAATGATCTAGGCAATGTCTACATTAATGATCTGAGTGTCTTCAGTCAGGGGGAATGACCCAGGGCGTTAAATTTGAAATCACTCAAATGCTTTTATCTTTATTTCTGTGATATTCGGCGCAGTAGGGACAGAGGAAATGTAGGAGTTCTTAGACAGCCTTTAACTATCCCGGATGAGTAGTGATGCACTTCGCTTTCCCTACCAACTGTTGATGAGAAACGAGTCCCAGGCCCAGACCTCATCATAGAGAGGCTGGAAAACAGTGCAGACCTGGGACTTAGGTGGACACCACTATCCTTGTCACACACTGTTACCACTGTTTTGAATTCTTCCACATCCTTTACTTTGTAGTTTTCTACTTAATAACAGCAATCTTTTCCTAAAAACAAAACATTCTGTGTCAAAACACTACCAGGGACCTATTTCCAATTGTTTTATATGAAAACAAATACAATGCAACGTCAAATTCAAAGCCCACTGATTTTTTAAATTGTTATGTAAAATTCAGTAAAGCACCTCTATAAAAACTTTCCATAGAATAAAAAAGCTTAAAATATTGCTATTTTGAATACCCAGGATGTTTTTTGTTTATAAAAGAAAAGTATTGGATAATGTAAGTACCCTGACAAATAACTCAATTAAACATGGGCAAAGGACCTGAATAGATATTGCTTCAAAGAAGACATACAAATGGTCAACAGGTACTTGAACACATGCTCAGCATCACTATTTATCAGGGAAATGTAAATCAAAACCATCATGAGATAGCATCTCACCCCCGTTAGGATGGCTATTACCACAAAGACAGGAGAGAAGTGTTGGTGCGGATGTGGCAAATTCATGTTTTGGTAACATGTGTTTCTCAATATGAATGTGGTCAAATTATTTTTCCACTGTTAAAGAACTAAGTCTTTTATATTGATATCTTCTCATATATTTGTTTTTTGTGCTGTGCATGCTCGGTAGCTCAGTCATGTCCAGCTCTTTGTGACTCCATGAACTGTAGCCCACCAGACTTCTCTCTGCCCATGGGATTTTCCAGGCAAGGATACTGGAGTGGGTTGCCATTTCCTACTCCAGGGGTTCTTCCTGACCCAGGGATCACACCCTCATCTCCTACATCTCCTGCATTGGCAGGAGATGAATTCTTTATGAATTCTTTATGACTGAGTCAGGTGAGAAGTTCAGAATATATTTGTTGCTCATAGTTAAATTCTGTTAATCTTTTTGATATTGATTTGGAGAAGTTCTTTATGCAGTCAAAATGATCATCTTACCTCCTCTTCTTGGATTAAAAAAAATCTAATTTCATTCACTGTTAGTTTATTGTGGCTAGTATCTAGAAGAACCCACAGTTTGTTGTGATCCACAGAGATGACAGAGGATGAGGTGGTTGAATGGCATCACTGACTCAATGGACATGACTTTGAACAAACTCAGGGAGATGGTGAAGGATAGGGAAGTCTGGCATGCTGCGGTTCATGGGGTGGCAAATAGTCAGACGCAACTTAGTGACTGAACAACAACAAAATCTAGAAGAATGTTCAATAACCACAATATAGTAGGCCTCCTTAACTTGTTTCTAACTTTTGTGGCAATAGCTCAATGCTTCCAGTTAAATAAAGTACAAGCTTTGAGGTTGAGATGGAAATTATTATTGTAAAAATGTAACAAATTATTTAGTTCAGTCTCTCAGTCATGTCCGACTCTTTGCAACCCCATGGACTGCAGCATGCCAGGCTTCCCTGTCAATCACCACCTCCCAACCAATTATTAGATGCTGGATTTTTACCAAATTACTTTCCAACAGCTAAGGCCATGATTGGATTATGTTGCTCCATAGCTTCATAATACATTAAATTATATGAAAATATTTCCTCATATTGAACCTTCTTTGCACACCTAGGACAAAATTTATCATCTAAGTTATTGCTGGATTCTATTTGATAATAGCTAATTTTGAGGTTCTGCATTTTTTTGTGGGTAATTTTATTCCTTTCTAAAACAAAGAGATTCTTTTCCTTTTGATTGCCTTGGTTTTGGGGTCTCCTTTTCCTTCTGAACATATCAACCATGGTGTTTTCCTTGAATAGATACTTGCACTGCAGAAGAATTCTGGTTCTGTTCTTTTAGAAAATAAGATTTTGACCATCACCACCTTTCTCCATGATCTCTTCTTTTCTTAGGCAAGTCTGACATTGAATGAAG